AGGGCATAATAATTTTTTGATAGTGAGAGTGATTAAAATTAACAAACATTTTTGGAATCTGCAGACCATAAATCACTTTGCCAACATAACATGACTGTATTAAAAGCTAAATTTCAGTTAGAGGTTAGGGAAAATAAATTGTTATATTTTTCAAATCCATTTTCACAGATTCCCTAAAAATTATTCACAGACACCCCCCTCAAGGGATCCCTAGACCCCCAAACAGGGTGAATAAAAATCAATGATTTTTTTAAAAAATCAAAAAAAATCAGATTTTTTTATTTAAATCGGATTTTTTTTATTTAAATCAGATTTTTTTGATTTTTATCGAATTTATTTTAATAAAAAACTTTTGCGGTAAAAATCTATCGTTAAGATAGTTTACTATTTAAGATACATAAATAATTTAGTTTATTCAGCATGAAATGGAGCTTAGTTATGTAGCATGAGGCTGTATATTCTGCAACACTGGGACTATCAGTGAGTCAACAGTGGGTCAAAGGAATAGCAGAGATGACAGTTGCTCTTTAAAAATTATGATTTAAATCGAGTTGATTTAAATCAAGCCTTTTTACTAGTGATTTAAATCATGATTTAAATTGTGATTTAAATCAACTCGATTTAAATCAAACCACCCTGCCCCCAATTAAAGACTTTGACTTTGATTTGTCCCCTTTCCAATGGTATGAACTCAGCATAAGCAAAACGTACTATTAGGAGAATAGAACTTCCTTTTGATCCGGCTGCTCTAGGGTGGTCTGGCATTTTTCCAGGAGTTAATCTTCTGAATTGGAAACAGTTTGTGGTACATAGGGAGTGGTGTTCATTCTGAAACAGGCTTGTCTCATCTGGAATACCATCTCGAACACCATAATTTTCCAATTTGGCGAACTAACTTTTACAGAATCACTGGACCATGATTGACAGAATAGTATAGTCCAGAAAAGGAACAGAAGTATAACCTTTGTACATCCACATTTCTACATACTACTAACAATTGTGTTCCTGCAACCTCTGACTGTGGTTTAAACAGAGATGGGACTGGGTGCAGCTGTGAAATACAGGTGCAACTGGATGAAACAGAGCATCCTAGGGCAATGGCTTTGAACCAATGTACTCAAATGGGCTACTTTTGAGAATGCATCCAAAATCTAGGATCCATAATTTCCGTAGAATTGAAATTTGGCAAATTTTATAAAACACTTTATGACATAAAAATTATCATAAAACACTTTATGACAGAATACAGAATGCCATAAAACATTTCCTTTGCTGATGTTTCATTGTGCTATACCAGTGATGCCGAACCTTTTAGGCACCGAGTGCCCAAACTGCGCATGTGCACATGCCCAAAATGAAAGGTGCGTGCGAACACGTGCATGTGTGGATATGTGCGTGTGTATGCATGTACATGTGCAAATGTGCAAATGTGCACATGCGCAGACATGAGTGTGCATGCCCAGACGTGTGAATCAGTGGTGGGTTTTAAAAATTTTTACTACCGGTTCTGTGGGCGTGGCTTGGTGGGTGTGGCATGACTTGGTGGGTGTGGCTTGGTGGGCGTGGCAGGGGAAGGATACTGCAAAATCTCCATTCCCACCCCACTCCAGGGGAAGGTTAGTGCAAAATCCCCAGTCAGCTAAGTCAGCTAAGACTTGGGAGGCAGAGAAGAGATGGGGGTGGGGCCAGTCAGAATTTTTACTACTGGTTCTCCGAACTACTCAAAATTTCTGCTATCGATTCTCCAGAACTGGTCAGAGCCTGCTGAAACCCACCTCTGGTGTGAATGTGCACATGCGTGGACATATTCGCGCGCATGCACAGTCATTCATGCATGTGCATCAGAGACCCGAAGACCAGCTGGCTGGCGGGAGGCGGGGCTTCCCAACACCAGCAGTGTGACAAGAGATGAGATCTTTTTCTTTCGTGAGCTTCTGTTTCATCATTTGCAGGGAAACAGAAGCTCACGAAAGAAACGCCACCGAGATCCAGCCTGGGGCGACGGCATGCGTGCCAGCAGAGAGGGCTCTGTGTGTCACCTCTGGCACGCGTGCCATAGGTTTGCCATCACGTTGCTATACAGTTCAACATGGCGTATTTTCAAGGAGATACATCTCTGAAGGTATTCCAACTTTTCAAGTGCTTTGGAAACCCTGCTATTGTTCAAGGCATTGAGGAATCTGATAAAGAAATATCTCTGAAACAATGACCAAAGAGGTCACAGGTGGTCTAGTTCAGGGGTGGGTTCTACTTACCTTACTACCGGTTCGCAGTGGGGCCGCATGTTTGCGCAAGCAAAGCAAGCGCACATGCGCTCTTCTGCACATGCACAGAAGCATTTTGATGATGTTGGTGTCGGTGTGCGGAGCCTCCCGCCAGTTTTACTACCGGTTCTATAGAACCAGTGCGAACCAGGGGCAACCCACCACTGGTCTAGTTTTCCCCCTCCCTCCCTTCCTCCCCTCCCTCTCTCTCTCTACACATACAACATCCTAAACATTAACCTTGGGTTATCAAAATATAATTGCTGTGTTCTACTGGTATGCCAAAACTATATATGTCTTATGACGATGGCCTGGTTCATTTCACATACCAAGATAATGATTGCATTCATATATATGAATATATAGAGTTCAATTTCAAATCTAGTTGCTGAATTCACAGTGCATATTAGCAACTTTCCAGTTTATTGATCAACCACTACTGGCTGTTTGTACATCACATGATGTCATCGTTTACTTGAGTAACAAATGGTTAGATTTGCACATTGTAATACATGATCAGTTACTGTTTATTAACTAGGACAAATAACCCACAAACAACCCACTAAGCTAAAACAAAACCCCATTATGGCTTAGCATATATGAATCAAATTGGTATCAAATTTGGACTGTTGTAGTTGAACCAAACTGGAGGACACGAGTATTTTTTGCTTTCCTAGCATTTTCTCATAAGTGCAGGGTCCTCTTTAAAAAAAAGAGTTTTTTAGATCAACTGAATATGGATCTATTGGTTGCAACAGGAATTGACTGAAGGGTTTTTCATCCAAGTCTGACATCATTGTGGGTGAGACAGAGTGACTGGCCCAAAGTCACCCAGCCAGCTTTCATATCTAAGGTATGACTAGAACTCAGTCTCCTAATTTCTAGCCTGGTGCCTTAACCATTTAACCAAACTAGACAACAGATTGGAAAAGATGAATGTTAAACAGTGACCTGAATGATCAGTTTAGGAAGAGAAATCCCAAGGTTCAAATCCTCAAACCTCCAATAAAAAGAAAATAATCAAACAAAACACAACCATATTATAGGGGATGGGAGATACAAAGCTGCCAACAGAGTCAACAATATTATCCAAAATGGATTTGCAGTGTATTTCAATTTTATTTATTAGATATATACCCTGAAGTTCATATTGATCAAAGCAATGGACATAATCCTCTATTATTTTCCTCACAGCAACAGAGACTGGCCTTAAGAACCTTAAGATATGGCAGCTTAATTTGGTAGTAGGATGAAAACTGCCCTTTTGTTGTTTGTGGTTATAGTATAGTATGTGTGCGTGTGATATTTTCATATTTTCATAACATTCCTTTGTCAACGGCAGCCAATTGCCTGAGCCAGTATCCAGAGTCCTGAAAACTCATGCCTTATAATCAGCTGGTTACACTTGGGTCAAGGAATTATTATCTATTAAATTTGTTTGCCACCCTTCTCCCCACAAGGCGACTCTAGATAGCTTACAACATTAAGCTCATGATTAAGCCAGAAGCTCCTGCCCATCCTAGCCTGCTTTTTCCAATGAATTAAGACTGCAGCTGGGTACATCCGCAGTAGAAAGCTATGTTTTTGTTAATCACGATTCTTGAGTTAAATTACTTGACTCTGTGGTTACTTCCCCAAAGCCCCATAACTTTAACCTTAGACTGTCTACTCTTGACCTCACCCCATTCCTCACCCCATTCCTAAGAGGTCTGTAAGAGGCGTGCATAAAAGCACCAACATACCTACTGTCCCTTCCTACTGTTCCCATTTATTTGTATCCTTATCCCAGGGGTGAAATGCTACCGGTTCGGACTGGTTCGGCCGAACCGGTAGTGATGGCGGCGGGTGGTTCGGAGAACCGGTAGCGACGGCAGCATGAGGCTCCGCTCACTCGCCCGGTCGTCGTTACTTCCTGGTTTTAACCAGGAAGTAACCTGTTTTTTTACCCTCTGTGCATGCGCAGAACGGTTTGCGCATGCGCAGAGGGTCCACGTGCACATGTGACACATGCACTTCCGAACCGGTAGTTAAGGTAAGTAGATTTCACCCGACTTATCCTTATCCTTATATCTGTTATCTTATACCTATGTGTTTGACAAATAAATAAATAAATAAATAAATAAATAAATATTTTTTTAAAAAAAAAAAACTCCAGTTGACTCGCTTCACACTTCCTGCCAATGTCAGATCAAAGCCAACTAAATCAGAGGCTACCTTGTGGTGCAAAACGTGGTCCGCTTCGCTTCCCTTTAGGCAGGCGAGGCCAAAGACAAGACCGGTTTAGCAAGGGATAAGAAGAGCCCAGCCAAGGGACCGTGGCCTGGGGTTGCAAAAGGGGCTCTCCGCGACCCCTGAGATCGGAGAGGAGAGGACCCGCTTTGGGTCTCAGGCAGCCTCCCGCTTCGTCCCCGCCACCGAAAGTTCCTTCCTCGCCCGGCGGCGGCGCTTTGCTGCAGTCCCGGAACCTCGAATCAATAAGCAGCCCGCGCGCGCCCCCATTCTGCCACCATTTCCATGGAAACCGCCTGAGCCACTTCTTATTGGAGGGCTCGCAAGAACCCGGCCCGGCCGCTCTCTGGCTCGGCTGCGGCTTCTTCTCGTTTCCGAAGCCTCAGGAAATTCGCTCCAGCCGGGTTTGGGGAAGCCAAAGGCGGCCAGTTGGCTCCGAAGCCGGTCCCCGGGGGCGGCGGGGCAGGGGCGGGGGGGAGGCGGGCGCGACTGAGCATGAGGCAACCGTCCGGCCGGACGAAACCTCCGTAGTCGAGAACGAGGAGACGGCGGCGGCGGCGGCGGCGGCGGCCCGAAGCTCAAGGAGACGGCGAGCAGCCGAGCGAACCCGCCAAGAAGTGCCGGCAAAAGGCGCCGTCAGTGAGGGCAATAAGCGGGCTGGAGCCCTGGACCTTTTGTACTATAGCGGAACGCGAGGGACGCCGCTGCCGCTGCCTCCGGCTCCTCCTCCTCCTGCTGCCAAACCAGTGACAGCTCAGCAGGCGAAGGAGGCGCGAGCCGAGCCCCTCTCGCCGAGGAGCCGCTGCCGCCGCCAGGTCCTTCCACTCAGGCGGGGGAAGCAGCCGCAGCCGCAGCTCCTCTCTTCCCCCTCACTCAAAGGCTGCTCTTGCCTGGCGCTGGGATGCCAGCGCGGGTCCCCGAGTCCCGTGGCAGCCCCAACCCCGCCGTCGGTCTCGCTGCGGTAACCGCTCCCGCCTCCTCCTCCAAGCCGAGTCCGAAGGGGACGTCGCCCCCGCTGCTCCGCGCCGAGAGATGAAGAGGCAGGGCTGGGGGAAGCCCAATGCGCAGCTCCTGCAGGATCGGGCGCGGAGCAAGACCGGCGACGGAGCAGCTGAGCGCGGAGGGCACCTCTTGGTGGGAGCTATGCCGGAAAGTGCCGGGAGCCCTGGAGGAGCCGAAGGGACCCAGACAGCTCTGGAGTTGGAAGTCCCGTCTCGGGGAAGCTCTCCGTGCTCGGAGCAAATGCCCGGGAGCACCGAAGTCTATCCCGCCGAAGGATTAGAAGGCTGTCCTGGGGAGGCAGCGGTGCAGGTAAGGAGGTGGGTCGTCTAGTATTGTACGTGCCCCTTACGGGGAAGCCAACGGTTGGGTGCGATTTCCCGAAGGAGATCCTCCATGTTCAGAGACAGTCTATCCCTGAAAGTGTTAGGAGGATGCCAGGCTGGTGACATTTTCACAAGCGCTTGGTTGTCTTCAGATAGGAACCGGTAGGGTTGTTTCTGCCTGCGGAGTTTTCCTGCCTTCCTGTCTAATCTGTGCAAAGACAGTCCGGCTCCAGCTGATAGGTGGAGAAATGTCTTTAACAACGTTAAAGGCTGATGGGTGGCAGGTAAAATGTAGAGCATCTTTTGAGATGGATGAGATGCAAAAGTTCGTTTTTTTTTTTTTTTTTTTAGAGCATGGAGGATCAGTTCACTGATTTGCCTCTCTGTCTCTCAAGATAATTTATTTTAATTGCAAGTGCTGAAGCCAAAAATAGGACCTGGAAGCCTTTTGGATCTTACTAGGAGTAGGAGGCAAGGGATTGCTGTTGGTTGCCGCTGGAAACAGAATACTGAGGATGGAGTAGATGGACCCTTTCGTCTGAACCTGTGTAGCTCCTCCTAGGTTGCTCTCACTTTACTCTGGATTTTCTGCCCTTGGTAACCAATGCAAAATCATAACTATCTTCTTTCTCATGGGAAGTGAGGTGTCTTCTTGTTACAAATCTATAGCTGCAAGGAAGGAGGTGGCAAACCTTATAGGAAGACATTAAGGAGGAACCATATTTCCCACATAGCATACCAGCTGCAGCACCCTTGCCATTTAAAAATCCCATTAGAAGGACCTTCCAAAACTAGAAGAAGCCCCTTTATTTTCCGGAAAAGCTAAAGCATGGCAAAGATGCAGCAGTGTCCATTAACTATTACGGCTACATGCAGTTGACTTGTTCAGAAACGATGTACTTAATGGATGGGAGCAGCAGTAGGAAGGAGAATCTGCCTTGATGCCTTGCTGGTAGACCTCTTTGCAAGAATCCAGCGGCTACACTTGATTGAGTTTACTAATTTATTAATATTTATAGCTAGCACATTGTCCTTAGGATGGGGTAGGATACAATCCATAAAATAAGGGGGTAAAACACAGCAATTACACTACTAACATAATCAAGAGACACAGATGTTGACAAGAATCAACAGGGCATTACCAGACTGAGGTTATTAAATTCCAAATGATAGAGTGAAAAGTCTTTACTTGTCATAGAAATGTAAGCAAAGTGGCTTTTATCCTGGTCTCCAAGAAGGGACATTTGTTTTGGGGTTGCACAACAGAAGAGGTCCTTTTCTCTGCCCCCACTTTTCCTAACCTTGAGGTGCCAAGGAGGAACCACCCTGCAGGTTTTAATTTTCAGGCTTGCATATACTGGGACAAATTCCCTTTTAATAGTGGGTTCCTAAACTGTTTAGGGTTTTAAATGTCATTAGGAAAATGTTGAACATATGACTGGTAACATGTGAACAGTCAGGGCAGTTTGCTTTGAACTGCTAGTATTATTCAACATGCTAAACCCAAAAGCCAGGTTAACAAAATGCAATTTTTCTGTATTTTCTCCGCTATACTCAAATAAATACATCACATGATGGTTTAATATAATGAATGGAATTCATTCAATATGCTGAACCCCAATGTATAAGTCCCCCCTCCCCAATTTTAATCTAATTTGTGCAGACTCAGCTATTGAGAGACAAGGAGCTGGATCAGATAAAGAAAGAAACCTTTTGGTCAGTTCCTCTTATATTCTTCTGTGCTAATCATATTTTGCTTTTATGTGCTCCACCAGCAGACTAGCCAGAAACACCTATGAAAGATCCATTTTAAGTGAATGAGATTAGTGAAATGGATAGGGCTGTTTCCATCTACTGCTATCTTCTACATGCTGAAATGAAGGTGTGGGAGGGTGCCTCAGCCCAACCCACCTCACAGGATTGTTGTTCTGGAGAAAAATAGACAGAAAATATGCTATGTATTCCACTATGACTCCTGGAAGAAAGGACGATATAAATGCAAAACCTTCTTTGATATGTAGTGTTTGAATATATGTGTATGTTGTAAGGACTAGTAAATTTTGTAAGGTATATATGCAAATCTACCTTCAAAAATATTCTTTTTATTATCTCAGTTGTTTCGAAATACCCTTTAGTAAGCTGTTTTTACTATTACAGAAGGTATGTAGAAGCATCAAAGCTTGGTGAAGAATGGCTAGATGAAATCAAGGCTTCTCCGTAATCATTATGTTATCCCACTTACTGGTGAGGGTGGGTGGGGGTGGAAGGTATGTTTCCTTTAAGGTCACTGTAGAAGGAAGGGTGAATTTTGAAATCCTAAATCATACTTACTGCTTGTCCCCCCCCACCCTTCTGAATCAGAAACCACAAAGCAAAACTCAATAGACTCAATGGATCTAAAACAATTTGCACACATCTGTGCTTATACTGCCTACTTTTGGGAGTGGCTCTACTTCAGGGTCTCAGTTACAGGAAGAACTTTCTAAGCAGAAGCATCCTGGATTTAGCTCCAACCCTTTTGTAAAAGTGATGGTCTGGATCCACCAAAAAATGTAAGATGTTTTGCTATTTATGTGATTTGGACTGTTGTGAAGAGAGCAAAAGCTATTTTTATATTCCCGAAAAGCTTACTGCATTGGACGCTGTTTAATGAGGGGAATTAGTCTGGATTCCTTGAAATTACAATGGTGACACACAAAAGAGGCGGGGCCCTTGAGTGATCCCTGCATTGGATCAAAGCACCCTGGTTTTTAATGAGCCCCTTACCCCTTGATTTTAATCTAGCTCCATGCTGTTCTATAAATCAAGGCATTTTTTAATTGCTGAAAATGCTTCCTTGGTCTTCTAGAAAGTGGTTGCATACTGAGAGTATCTATGCCAGTGGGTATAATTTCCTGATAGGATTTGAGTCTCCCAACATGTTCAATTTTAGAAATCTAGCACAATGAAAAATCTGGGATAAATAAGGAGAATTTTACTTTAGATTCCTGAAATAGGGACTTTCTGATCTGTGTTATCATTTGTGATTCCTTCGACAGCTAGTACTTTACATTTTAGATCAAGTAACATGTTGCATGGTGCTTACCAATCAGTCAAGCTGATACCCCACCCATCTCACACATACATGGGAAGCCAGAAGATAGTTGATCTTTCGAGACCTGGGAAGCTGGCCTTTTTGGTCACTGTTCCTGCCCTGTGGAGCAACATCCCCACCCTCACCCCCAAAATCTGTATGGTCCTGAGCTGTCTGACCTTTAAAAAGGCCTTGATGACCTAGCAGTTCATGGGCCAGGATACTGTGTGAGCCACAACGTTAGTGTTTATGTGAATTTTGATCCTGTGCTATATAGTCTCTTAATGTGTGTGTGAGTGTGGGGGTGGGGGGATTAGGTGGTTTCTGGATTATTATTATTTTTTTTAAATGCCATTCTTAATGCTGTTAGCTACCTTTAGACATATGGGCAACCATAGTGATTGAATAAAACAAAATAAAATAAAAATGTCTGGATTTCAATTTTTCACTATATTGTATACAGTATTCTGGCTTCAATGATAGAGCAAAATTAGTTTCCAAGCTAAGAAGCCAGCAGATACTTTTGTTTAGCAGCCCAGAAGGAGAGAAGGAATGAAAGAGATACTTAGTGGTGCTCGAGGGCAACAGAAACCCTGTTCTCACAGGTGCATCCCCGTCTCCCTTTGAACGGGTTTTAGAGAAGCTTCCTTTGAGTTCATAGATGCCACAATGGGAGATGTTTCTGCAGTGAAAAGCTGCTCATTGGGATTAGAGAACTGGATGCTAAAGGGGACGGTGGCATTGTGGCTGTATCCATGGGTGTGGGTCAGATCAACTTGCTTTGCATTTTGGTTTCTGAACTCTGCTTTTGAAAGGTCCAACTCTACAGATTAGAATGCATTCTGACAGCGAGTTTTTTAATTGCTTCTCTTGATATATATATATTTTAATTTATTTACTTATTTGAATCCCACCTTTATTATTTTTATAAATAATTCAAGCAGGAACACATCCAACATACCTCCCTCCTATTTTCCCCACCGCAACAACAACACTGTGTGATGAATTGAGTGATTGATTAAGGTCACCCAATTGGCTTTTATTGCTAAAATGGGATTTGAATTCATGGTCTTCTGCTTTCTAATCTGGTGCTTTAACCACTAGACCAAACTGGCTGACCACCTTAATCCCACCTTTATTAATTTTATAGTAATTTAAGGTGGTGAACATATGTAATGCTCATTCCTCCTCCTATTTTTCCCACAGCAACAATCCTGTGAGATGGGCTGGGCTGAGAAAGTTTTGCTTTTTCCTCTTAAATGCTTTATTTTCTTGTTAAAAAGAATAAAAAGGGGGAAAGTGGTGGGAAAATATGGAAGGATTGTAAATCCAAGGCATAATTTTTGTTATTAAGTTAAAATGTAATTTGTAGTTCAGTATGTTATGGAGACCCAGCCATTGTGTTAGCATGTTGTGGGAACAGCCTGGGAGAATGTGGCAAGATGCTATGTGGTAAGGAGCCTTGGTGGTGCAGCGGACTAAAGTGCTAAGTGCTACTTAGCACTTAGCTGCCAGCTGCCTGCAATTACTGCAAGTTCAAATCTCACCAGGCTCAAGGTTGACTTAGCCTTCCATCCTTCCAATGTAGGTAAAATGAGGACCCGGATTGTGGGGGCAATAAGATGTCTTTGTATAAAAAGAACATCACTTGGGGGGCTGAAAGCCCTACTAAGAAGGTATATACAAAAGTATGGAGGCTATTGCTTAACGCATTGTAAACTGCCCTGAGTCTCCGGAGAAGGGCGGCATATAAATCGAACCAATAAATAAAGATGATTGAGGCTATTTAGGGTTATTTACACAACATGCTTAAACTGGATATTGAAGTCTCCCATTTTCTACATTTGAACAAACCACCGAGCCACAAAACCAAACCAAGTTCCAAAGTAACTGAGTTTAACATTTTTAATGGA